ATCAAGCAACCTGATTGAGAGTAAGCAACAGCCGCTTATACTATTTCCTGGATGGGTTACCACTCGGGTCTATTGTGGCAAAATATTTGCCACACATACAAGTGTAGCACTGTAGCCAACCAACCGTAACCCCTACAATAGCTAATGGTCATAGTTGCCGAGCTCTAGACCAATAAAAAAAAAAAAAAATATTAATGAAGTAGTGGCAACTGGTGCAGCAATATTTGTTAACTAGTGTTAAAAATACTTCAGTATTTTAATAAATTTTGTTTTATTTTTAAATAAGTTTTAAATTTACATATAATTGTCATAAATGACTTTCATAATTATATGGTACCTAACCTTTGGTATTATACATTTTTAAATATTTTAATGTTTAAATGATACAAGTAGGTATACAATATTATACATGTATACTGTATACCTACTGAATTCTTACATTAGAATTTAGAACACTGAACATTGTGTTAAAAAATAAATAAATTGTGTTTTTATTTGTGTAAAAAAAAAAAATTCAATGTTTCAAATGAAATATTTCATACATCAAACACTACAAATAAGTACCTTAAATTATATAGGATAATTTGTTTAATTAGCCAGGTAAGTCTCATTTTAATTATATAATTATTATAATAAAGTATAAGGAAAATTATATATATACATATTTTAAATGTTTATTTCTTACTTGAGGCATTTCATGTTCATCTGAAGATCGTTCAACAATTTCACTATTGTATTTTTTTTCAAATTCTAGTGAAGCACTTAAAATCATTATAACTCGTTTCAAAGGTATTGAATTTGATTTATGCAAAAAATAATAGTACATCCGAGACGTCTCTAATAAAACCTATATAAAAAAAAAAATAATTAAGAAAAAACTAAAATAATAAGGAGTAACAATTTAATTAAATACTACTTAGATTTTTCATACCTTATCTCCAGAATATCTGATAGACTTATACCACCACATACCAACTGTAGTAGGCAGAGCAATCATAAAAACTAAAGCATACAAACCTAAGACCTAAAAAAAAAAAAAAAATAATTTATGTTTTTCAGAACTTATAAAATGTAATCACAGAATTCAGAATTATTATTAACAAATATGTACCACAGGTTAACTAACGCAAGTCTATTTTTTGAAATTTTGAGTTAGTTATATAATTAGAATATGCTTTTTGTGATATTTTTAAAGGTATTAAAACATAAGTAATATATCCAGTAAATGCATAGATAGCAAGAAGTATACTAACTTAAGTGCTAAACTATGATAGGAGTATAGAAACTTATGTCCAGCGTTTACATAAGAGAAGTAATACAAAATAATATATTTGGAGTATACAATTGTAAGTCCATTGTAACAAATATTTTTGCTTTGTCTCTCCTGTAAAATTTGCTTTTTGTGACTTGCGTTAGTTGACTTCTGTGGTACAGAAATATCAACACATTGTATCAATAAACTGCTCTCTTAAAAATACACAAATCCTATAAATCTAATTGAGATGTATATAAAAAGACACCATCAACAGGTTAAAATGTAAATTTTAATCATCACAATTTTATTGTATAATTATAAAAAGAAGTTAACTATTGTCAACATAGGTAATTAATACAATATGTGTTCAGTGAAGAAGTTACCAGCTGGTGTCATATGATAGTATACCTTAAGTTATGAAAAAAACCCTTTACACTATGGGCCTAACTTTTTAATTTTTTCAGTAATGGGCAATTCAACTTTTTATACAAACAAATCAAACCTATTTCACATTTACTGATGTATCTCCCAACATTTTCAACTTTTTATCGTAATTTTTTTTCCAAAATATTTTACTGTGCTATCAAATAACCTACACAATAATACCAGAAATGTAAAAATTATTTTTATCAAATTAAAAAAAGAAGAATACTGTAGAATAACAAAATAAAAAGTGTGATAAATACAGAATTATTTAGAATTATACACAATCACCTTTTAAAAATGAAAATTGTTGCGAACTTTTTTTACTTTTAATAAAGATAATTTGTACACTTCTGACTTGATTATGTATTGATAACACAATAAAAAAGCTTTAAACTAAAAAACAATAAGGTATAAGTTGAAAAGTATTGAAGATAACAGGAAATATTCCCTTGGTTCAGTTTCGTTTAAAAAGAGTTGAATTGCCCAAAATACAAAAAAAAAATAAGCAAGACCTATTAAAGTCTACCTATTAAGGTTTTTTTTACATAACTTAAGCCCTGCGTATACTATCATATAACGCCGGCCAGTCACTTCTTCATGAAACATATTATATTATAATAATTTTTACCCAAACTGAATTTTCTTTCTCTACAATCCACGATGGTAATGCTATTCCAAAACTCATCGCACCAGGTCCATCTGGATTCCCATATTTTTCCCAATTTTTCCTGGATTCATCATCAGTTAAGGCTTGATAAGCTAAATATTAAAATTAAACAAATCATTAAATTATACATACTATAATAATTTATTAACAACAAACAGGTGTCATCTTGGACGATATAAACATTATAATAATATGCAGTATAAGAAAGAATTAATAATAATTTATAGTAATAAATCAAATAAAAACATACAGCAATCAATGCTTATTAGACTCGTACTTAATTGACTTATTCAGGACTTAACTAGGCTGGTATCAATAAGCATGTATTCTCTCATAAAAAATAAATTGTCTATCAGATGTCACCGGTTAATGGGGTCAATTAAAATATACAATTTAATAAAAAACAAAAACTGTTCAGGGTTTAGTTTGGTGTAGTATTTAATTGTATATTTTTTTTTTTATTTGTAGGGGATTGTAGGAACCAAAAAGATTGTAAATAACATATTCTGAAACTATTTGATTGATTGTGGTATGTTTTTCATTATTTATATACACTGAACAATTATATTTTTTGTATACTAAATGATTCTGAAAACTATGAATTAATATTATTATTAAGGATTACCTTTAGTAAGCTTCATGAATTTTTTTTCATCACCAGTCTCCTTATCTGGATGGTAAATTAATGATAATCTTCTATAAGCTTTTTTAATGACTTTTTCACTAGTTCCCTTTAAAATTAAAAACAATTTTAAAATAAAATATAATATAATAATTAATAAATATTAATCAATACTTACAATTGGAACATTGAGAATGTCATATGGATCAAAACTTGCACTCTCATAATCAAACTGAGAAACTTTATAGGCGAGGAAAGCTAACAACGCCCAGCCAGCAATAATGATGACTTTTCTAAAATAAATATAAAATTCAATATTTATTATTTAATCAACCCTAAGTCTCTTACACTCTTAAAGTACAAAAACAAATAAATTATTTATAACTATATGATAAGAACCTTTTTTGTTAGGGTTTTTAGTTTGAAATATGGAGGTTCAGATTAAAAATCATAATTCAGAATTAATTAAATTATTTTTTTATTGTACCTCAAAAGTTGTATTAACCTAAGTTCTATGATTAATAGAACAGAAATGTTGGTTATTGTTGGATTGGGTCACAGGATGTGTACTTAATATGCACAGCATTTAAAACAGAGATTGAATTGTGGATTTAATAAAATTACAAAATTGGTGTCTTATCTTTACACCTTAGGAAAATATTCTGCATATTATATTCTTAAATTAATTTCAAGATAAAAAGTACTTACATGCATGTCCTTTTCATCAGTTCCCACGGTTTAGTGGACTGCAGGACGAGTTTTTTTTTTCGACATCCTGGACAATAACATTCGGATGCCAACGCTTTTGGATCTAAAGTTCATACAATTAATAAAAATTAAACGACACACGTCGATCGTGACGAGACATCACTCAACAATAAACATTACCTTCTTTCTGTTTTCTGGGCCACCAGTAGTACGTGCCGGGGACTAGCAGAAGAGCCAGAAACGACAATAGAAAATAGAAAAATGTCGCTCCACTTTCGTCGTACTGAAACTTTTGGCCGGCCATTACTGTTGTTTCCGTTCGTACATAAATCGAACATTTACTCCGGGAGCATGGTGCGGTTACGAGTTAATTTACATACTTTGAATAATCAAAGTATTGGCCTACGACGACGGCGATAACCAAACGGTACCTTACGACAGTAATATAGTGTATTTTAATGTTAGTAACACGTCACGTAAACATCACGACGATAAAAAAATACCAACCAGGTGTAAACGTACGCACAATAAATTATTATATTGGTGGTGATACGACGTATCGCCGTGATGGCCAATGGTTGAAGTCCGATGTCCCTACCGACTACCGAGTCATCCACGTCCTCCTCAAAATAATATTGTGTACATAGATATCTTTGATCACGGCGCAGGGCGCTCATCAAGCGAGGTTGATAACCGAAGTTATCATTTTCTGCGATTGCGTGATAAAAATAATAAATATGATACGTGCACTCAGCAGCAGCTGCTCGTCATGGCATTCCTGGAGTATAAGGTATAAGTGTGGTATGAGCCATAGATCGCGGTAGTGGTTTGTATTGTTCTTCCACGAGAGAATATTATGGTCTTCAGTAGGTTGGTCACGGTTCCACTGTGGTTCGACAACCCTGGCCTACGTTGTGTATCGTGATCCGAAGGCGCGGGTTTTGGTTGGTAACACCGGACCAAAGGAGCAGTTATTTAAATAAGTTTTTCAAGCTGACCGTCCGATGTACTAGTCCGTCGTCCGATCTCCGTCATTTCTGTTTCGTACTTGCTCGAGTCGCTCTCGCTCCCGTTCGTCCGTACGTTTTTCAATTTGTATGTGCGTGCGTGCGTGAGTGAGTGAGTGCGTGAGTGTGTGTGTGTACGTACGAGGCTCGCGTCGATCCGTTACCCGTGTGCGATCCGATAGAGAAGCCATTTTGTTCCGTGCTTACAAAACACCTCGTCGTTTCGGGTTTTTTTCACCTACCCATCTCTCCGGACGAATCGGTTTCTCTGTGTTCGCAGACGTCGTCGGTGTCGAGCGTACGTCGAACAACGCCATGGCTTGCGCCACGCTGAAACGGTCGTTGGATTTCGAACCCCCTATGTGCAGACCGACGAAGAGACAAAGATGCACGCCTATGAGCATATCGCCTTCGAGCTCTCCCCCAAACAGCTCCAGATCGGAATACGTCTCGCCCCATTTCGGTGGCGATGTCGTACCAAAAATTACGGCAGGTAAGGACGACGAATTTTTTTTTTGTCTCGTAAACGCCGTTTGAAGCAGTGATTATTATTACTATTACTACTACTGTTGTCGCGGCGGTGTCGATGGCGACGTCGTTTGCTATAAATAAAAGCGATTGATATTGGTTGGCAGTTGTCGTCCGACCGTCTCGTGTCACTCGATTTCGTATTTTAATTTTAATCGTTGTGAATACATGGTACCTAGGTGTAGTTAAACCAATTAGACTTGCCAATTATTGATGAATTGGCAGGTATCGTTTTTCAATGCTATTTGCAGGTTTAAATTATTAGATGATTAATAATGGTTCTTTTCCATGGGTACCTAGGTAGTCGTTACCGATGGGACTATGTATATTATATTATATGATGGTACCCAATGAAATACCTAATACTATAGGTAATCTGCATAATTTGTCGTTGTGTTATGAGCTGCTTATTATGATAAATTAACTAAATTGTTTATTTCATTGTCATTTTAATTTCCATTGATCGCATAACGTGTTTAAATTATGACATAATAATTTAATTAGTTACCTACCCATACGACTATTTCGATTTTTATTAAATCAATCAATTATTTTGATTTTCAGACTAGGGGTATTTTGTTACATATTTAATAAACTACCTACATAGGTACTTTAAATTACTTGGCTACTTGACAATAAACATGTAAACACTTTTTTTTTTATTAAACACAAATTAGTTGATTATTATTAGTTTAAATCTTTATTTACCAATTATACCTACAATGTGTAAATTTGACTATAGTTTATTGTCTGCACCCTGAACAATGTGGATAAACTTACAATTGTATTTCTTAAAGTTAACAATATAAATAAACTAGAAACACTAAGTACCTAGGTATGAGGTACCTACTTACCTATCACCATATTTACTATAGAAAATTAATAAAATTGGTTTGGCAATTTTCTTTAAACATTATTTGTTTAGTGGTGTTTCTAGTATAATTTTCTGTCGGATTATTTTTCTCCTAAAGTTTTAAATCACAAATTTATTTTGTTCTAGGTATTGCAAAATAGATTGGGTATGATTTCATATTAATAGCTGGGTGCTTTGGGGTTGTTTTTAACTGTTTATAATTCAGCTAAATTTCATATCTTGCCAACTTAATAATGGAGATTTAAAAAAACTCCATTACTTATATTTATATGATACCTATGTAAATTTAATCAATTTTTTTACTGTACCTATTATAAATAAAATGTAGGCACCTAAGCAGTAAACACTATATACCTAATACAGTGTAATGTTATACCTAAAATGTAAAATTATCTATCTCATTTGTATGAACATTATTATTTCCATTTCTCTATTCTCTAACACTTGAAATGTACCTAATTATCTTAATTACGGAAACTAAATTTAACTAAATGTGTTTGAGATTTGTTACAAAAACTAAAGCACATTGATAAAACGATAATAATAATTAACTATCTAGCAGTCATTAATAAAAAAAAATATATTGCAATTATTTTGAAGTTTGTACAGCAACCATTATATCATTTAAGATGCTTTTATAAATAAAAGTAGATTGTAAAATTGTATGTGAAAAGTCGTTTAAACATATCTTTTAACTATTTTATACATAAATAGGTAACAAATAAAATTATTTTAAAGTTTGTTGGTACAGATTTAATGCTTGAGTTGTGCTGAGTTGTTAAAGTGTAATACTTAACCAAGAATGCATAGTAGATGCCTACAAAAGTTGCTATTAGGTAATGCGATGAAAATAATATTATCCTACCTTTTTTTTAATATTGGAGGAATAACAGGTTTTATCAGTAGAGTCATCGTACAATTATTGATTGTAAATTTTAATTCATGGCTTATCTTAAGAATAGCAGTTATAAATTATGATGGTGATTGAGTATACAACTCGTACTAAGAAATAATATTATGATAACATAACTTGTTAAAACAAAAAGATTAAGCCAATAATATTTTTGTCAATTGGTATGTTTATAATATGTTATAAAAGTGGTTTTAGACTTATATTTTTATTGGTAAATATAATACTGTAAACTACCTATCTGTATAAAAAGTAAAAACCAGTAGCCGTAGATTTCAAACTATTGTAATTCTATCATATAAACATGCAGCTATGTACTGTAAAGCCCCCTTCAAACGGTCAAGTATTTGACTGCATGAATGGGACTAAAAAGTATAAACTATAATTGTTGAAAATTAAAATAAAAAATTGACATGACATATTTTATCATAAATATTCCTCTATGTTATTCTACATTCCATATAATATGATTACTTGATAACAATCAATACCTAATGGTGAATAATATTATTTTTTTATATTGAACACTGATCATAGGTAGGTATGTTAAACCTTCAAAAACATTATTCTCTATAATTTACAAAATGTGATTTTACACAAACACGTTTAGGGCCGATTTCACCAACACAGTTAATCACGATTAACGTTAACCTGAGTTTTAATCGGCCGAATTTGGCCGGTTAAATATCTGTTATCAGCCGATTAAGTGTTAACCGTAATTAACTGTGTTGGTGAAATCGGCCCTTAGTCAATACTCAATTGTTTTTGAGAGTGAAAACAAATATTGTTCTGACATAAGTTGGTAAGATAATCGTATTATTAAATTAACATAATAATGAATGATGATAAACCTTACCTATTGTTTACAGTATTCAGAAAATAGATTCTTTATATAATGTATTATATAATATATAGGTATTTCATCTATCTGTTTGATTACTATGCTTCAAAGGGATCTTAATAGAGTTGAAATTTAATTTCATAGGCGCAAATAGGGGGGGGGGCTTAAGGGACTAAGCATCTAAAAATGTCCCCCCCCAAACATTTCCTACATGTTGTTTTAAGTTTAAAATTATAAAAGTAGGGCTAAGGGTTTGCCCTCCCCCCCACAAATCCCAAACACTATATGCGCCTATGTTTAATTTATAGAGTGCCTAGTGCCTACCTAATTAAGTTTAGAATGCCTAATCTAGGTAAATTAAATGTAAACATTTCTTTTTCTTCACAAAATTAGAACAAGTTTTCAGTATTTTTACAAATTTCGGGATTTAATAGAATGTTGAAAAGAATAATCTCTAGAATAATACTATACTCCGGCCCACGAGAGATCAGTACTACTATTCGACCTAAACTCGTCCGATTTCGCGCATCTCCCACTCAACCAACCACACCGTTTCGGCGACTGTCGGTGTCGGTCGGCAATTGTGACGATTGCGGCACATAGTGGGGAAAATTGGGCCCGCACCTTCGCTGTCGGTCATTCTGCATGCGCGTGGCGGTACTGATCTCTCGTGGGCCGGAGTATAGGATATTTATACTTGGGTATATTAGAACAATCTTGGGAATCTTCTCAAAACCTAAAATGTAAACCGGTACCTACTAAAGTATACAATACTAATTATAAAATTCTTTAACCTACCTACCTATTTATACATTTCATAGTTCATATGTAATGTTGCTACAAATTCAATAAATATCTACTACCTACTTTTAGAATTTACTTTACTCATTGTTTGCATTTACTTATAGTAAGTGGGTGGGTATCTATTATTTATTTAATATAAGTTTATATGGTATTAAATATTTCAATCCTTGAACATTTAAATGCAGTATGCAGTAATAAAAATTTTAAACCACAGTGGGTTATATGTTTAGATATAACCTGCAGTTCATAAATAATGATTTCCAAAAGCTGAAATTTGCTGAAAATAATTAACCTAACTACCTATACTCTGTTCAGCCTAAGAGCGCATCGTAACAAATTGCGGAACGACGTCCGGACCCCTGGCTGAGTATAATTGCTCTGTGATTGGTCTCCATTTGTCAGCTGTCGACGACGGCACGAATGTCGATGCTGTTATGGTGGGAATGCATGCGTGAGTTTTGACCGATTTTCGTCTGCCGCCCGGTGCACTCTTAGGTTGAACAGAGTATATACTGTATTCAGAATAAGATAGGTACATGACGGCTATCAGTTTTCGTCTGGCAGCAATCAGATGTTTCTTCTACTAAGTCAACCACTTGATTCGGCATTTGAAACAAAGTCCAGGAAACTTTCTGATTCTGAATAGAGTACCTATAGGCATTCCAAAACCAAAAGAGAATATCAAAAAAAAAAAAACTTTTAATGTTTCATCCCTTAATATTATTCATATTAAAGTTGATTAAAACTTAAAAACCTAAATTATACAGTAATTATTATTATTTTTTAGAAATGTTGTCTGCTAGTTTAACTGAAGAAGTTCAAAGGATGCGCCGTAAGCGTCAGCTTAACATGGAATTATCAGAGAATCGTAATTTGGATGACAGTTCTTCGGATAGTTCATCTGAGAATACGTTTCCATCATCAGCCAAAGACAAACCGCTCTTCACTTTTCGCCAAGTATAAAATTTAATAATTATTAAATCAATAGAAAAAAAAACCGTATTTACTCTATGTACCTAAAATTTACAATAGTTGAAACTTTATGAAACTCGCACAAATGTACACTTTGGTTTTCAAATTTCCTAATAAGGTTGAAAAATTAGTTTTTTCATAATTTATTTCAATGGTTTACTTAAATTTAATTTTATGTGTTAGTTAGTAATGAATACACGACACTGGAAATGAAGGGACTAAGGACAAGTAGGATTAAAATAGAGACAATTGTGTATGATTGAGGAAGTAATCAAGAAGTTGATGGTACAAAATTACAAAATAATTATGGTTTACATCAGAAATACGATTATAATTGTTGAGCTAAAGATTTTGAGATTAAAAGGTAGATTTTATAAAGCAATTGGGAAACCAATTATCTTGGCATATGGATTGAATGTTGGGCAGTGAACAAAAATACAAAACAGAGGATGAAATAGCTGAGATAATGATGTTTAGATGGATGTGTAAAGTGACTAGAGAGGATATAATAAGAAAGGAATTTGATAAGAGTAGAGTAGGAAAGGAACCAGCTGTAGATAAAATGATGGAAAATAGGTTATGATGATAGGTAACTCGGAAGCATCAAAAATGTCTATAAAAATGAAAGTAGAACAAAAGATATGGAGAGATAGGGAAATAGACAAGCAAAATAGAGAATCACTCTAAAATAGCAGGTTTGAGTAAAAAAGACCAATGGTAACTGACACCCCATTTTGCTTTCACATTTGGCAAAACAAAAGAAGATGAAAAGTTAATCAAGAATATAGAACACAATTTAATAAGTTTAGAATTTCTATATTGCATTTATAATTTGTGTGTAAATTATACATTAATACTAGTAAAATACCTACTATCCTGCCAAGTGTTATTTGCCATGTATACCTATTTCATTAGGTTAAAAATATTTTATTTATGATTTATAAATTAAATACCGGTTTTTATTTTATAAAAATGTAAATACTTACTAAAACATATTTTTTAGGTAGGAATGATCTGTGAACGTATGTTAAATGAGCGTGAAAGTCAATTACGTGAAGAATATGATAAGATTTTAAACATGAAATTATCTGAACAGTATGAAGCTTTTGTTAAGTTCTCCAACGATCAATTGCACAGACGTTTTGAAGCAGCCGAAGATCCAAGCTGTAAGTTATATATTATTGATAATATTTGTTTATGGGTTTTTATTTTTTCTTAGTTAATATATTATTAAAATACTCTTTAAGCTTAAAAAAATGTAAAAACTATTCCATACTTCCCAACTAGTATATATTTTCATCATTATTGTTGTCAATAATTATTCGTTATCTTAATATTATAAAGGGTGTCTCATGAGGATTTACTCATTGTGGTATCTCCTGAGATAATAAATATATCATAAATCTGTTGTTTTTTTATTTAAGAAACAATTTAAAATAGTTATTTTATAGGGTTTATATTTTTGTGAAAATTTTGACCTTAGACAATTTATTCTCATTAATCATGATGTTTAATCATTTTTTAATTCATAGGTAAAATGGTAAAAGACAGGTTTTTGTCTGAGCGACGTCTCCCCCTCTACGGCTAATGGGTATATTCTCCCGGGACACCCTAAATACTGTATAGATGTTTTTTTTATGAGGACATAGTGGTTGTGCGGAATCAGGCAACTAGCCACTGAGATAAATGTGATCCTCCCCTGTGTAGATGGTAATGGGAAAATATTAAAGCTCTCAAATTTGAATGTGAATTTTTTAATAATTTATGGTCTTTACACACTGCCCAGCGGTGGCGGTAAAATGAGTCTGGACACAATAAACCTTCACAACAATAATTTTACTGCCACTGCTGATTTTTGTGGCAATCTTTAGCCGGCATCAAAAATTAAATTTTTTTATTATGAACCTCTGATTACCTAATTCAGTTCTAGTCTCAATTTTCATTTTTAGAGGTTTTAAAATTGCTAACAAACTTCTGCCAGATTGCAGATATTCATACGCGCTTCATAATTGATAACTATTAACTTAACTGTACTAAATTTCAAATGTCATGGTATTAGTATTTTGAAATTATATATATTTCTATGATGATATTTGTTTCTTAAGATTTATATTGTGTAGAATAATTGATTTATTTTTTATAATTTCAGATTTGTCTTAACTCAACAACAACTCCAAGCGATGGTTTTGAATTTACAACAAAATTTTAGACGCACTTAATAGACAAAATAATTATTCAGCCTTAAGTCAACAATCGACTGACTAACAATGTTTTTTATGTATTATACATTTTTGTAAACTCGATATTATTAAATTAATTTAAAATATATGAATTTCATGATAATAGTAAAAGAGTAATAATTAATTTAAGTAATCATTAAGCTAAGATTGTTTTGTTTGTTTTATTCATTTTTATATTGCGTAACTAAAAATGTTGGATATTGGCTCAAAATCATATTAAAACTTAAAACTGGCTTAAGATATCTCCTTATTCTATTTAAATTATAATAATGAAAATATATATATATACAATTTTGTGACATATTTTCAGTTAAACTATAAAAATTAAAAATTGTAAATGATTTATTTATGTGAACAAATATTTTTTTTTTCAAACTCAGTAAAATGTCTGTTAGTGGCTTAACACTACTTATTATTAGAGCTTGCCATTCTGATTTGTACGACTGAATTTGATGACATTTTATATATATATTTCAAAGGTCCCCCAAATTTTATAAGAATAAAAATTTTGGTTACGCCACTTCCAAAGTACTAATGTTTAAGTTATTTTAAAGCGAGTTGTTTGAGCAAGATTTAAGAAACAGTTCACTTTACACTGTAGCTTGTTCATTCAAATGGATCTCGCACTTAATTCTTAAAATATGATAATAATTATTAAACATATATATATATATATTATAAGCAAAGGTATATATATATAGATTTTTTTTTGTAAATGATAAGTAAAAATTATTTTTTCTATTAGGGCAACATGTAAATTATTTTGTTGGGAGAAAATACTTGTATAATTTAGTTTATAATACAAATTAATAATAAAAAAAGTTTAATAAAATATCAGACATTAGTTGTATTGTATTTGCATTTTTTTTTAGACTTGTGAAAAATGAATTATGAACTAAATGTTTGTGCTTCTTAGACACATAAGGTCGTCCTCAATGTTAACCCAAAATTAAGTTTATACTTAATTCACAGTGTACTGTGCCCTATATAAATATTTTTATTTTAATAATTAAAAATAGAAATGCTGTCTTATTGTCTAATAATTATTTGAAAATTGTTATATTTTTATGAAAATACAAGCATTTAATCTAAATAACTATTAGTTACCATTTTGATGGAGTTTATAATTTATTGTGACTTGACAGGTATTCTGTAAATAATGTACATTTATAATCATCAGTACAGTTAAGTAAGTCGATATGTTATCAACATACATATTTATTTTTTATTGAGATTCAGCCTTGCAGCTTAGGCCCTTAGCTATTTTTTGTTGGTAGGGGTGGGAACACATGTGTTTGTTTTGGCAGAATTTTTTATTTGGGCACCCGTAGGTATCTATTACACTTGTTCTCCGGACCCTGTGACTTGGACGAGGTATCAAACCGGGTTAATGTGTGTCGCAACTGACGCCTCAGTCTGCTCGACCACTCCTTCCCCCACACACATATTATAATTATATGACATATTATTATAGTAATATGGTTACTCTATTAGAAATTTTTTTTTTTTTTAACACCAGAATTTTGTTTAGAAAACTAAAATATCAATATTTTTTTTTGAAGGATTAATTATCAGAATAATGAAAATACCTATTTATAAATTCACCACTTATTTCAATTTTGAATCGATTTTTATGATCAACTTGTTATCTTAAATAATAATTCACTCAATATGAGTATGTTGTGTTATACTGGTAAGTGGTATTAATTGTGGTTAAGACTTTAAGAGATCAAGATTTATAATACTGTATATTTTAAATAAATTAAATGTAATTTCAAAACATTTGACGTGACTATGGTGTATTGTCGTGAACATGGGCGGATAGGCCATAAGAAGGGGGCCCCCACTTCGTATTTCACCAATGGGGGGCCCTTTTTATGGTTAACGCAATGACTCATTAATATTATACAATTACAATAGAAATTTGAAATATTATATTATTATAATCTTATATCTTTAAATCTATTACTATTCTGTGGTATTTTACAAGAGATTTGCCGCCACTCTGCCACCAACTAGAACGTTGATTATCGGTTGGCGGCGGGTAGTGGTGACGGTTGTGAGTTGGTGGGTAATAACTGACAAATATTCTGAACAAACTTGATTTTAAGGACATCATTAATAAATTAGGAGCTATAGAAGCCCAGTATTTAATACAATGTTATAAATTAAAAATTTAAAAAATAAATAAATGATTTTAAAAATGTGTTTTGTTGTACATTGTTTTCTTTTGATAATTCACCTAATAATGTACTTGCGAGCAAAGTGAGCTTATTTTATTTTTCATATGGGCCAGGGGGCCCCTTTTAATAATTTCCCGGTAGGCCCAAAATTACCTATCCGCCCATGGTCGTGGATAACGGACTCCATAACCACGTGCGAAGAATTGTTTAAAATAAATTGTACTATATCCCGGTCCTGCAGATACGCAATTTTTATCATAAATCTAAGATTTCGTTATTATTTATTTCCGTTTTAAATGTGTCAATGATGAATATCACTGTATCAGAATATTTAGGTTCTCGTCTTCAATCTTGATTGTATTAACCACGGACTTAGATATAACTATATAAACTTAAGTTTATTATATCACGAGTTATGAACTCATGACTATAACTATTGTTCTATGCCAGGGGTTTTTTTAGTGTGCAGTGTAAAAAGTAATTGTTCATTGGTATATCGTGAGAGAGTCGGGATTTTTATGTTTTTACATATTGTTTCTGAGTAGTGAGTACCTATATGCAGTCTTAAAAAATGAATTAAAAAATGTAGATAGTACAGTTAGTATACAGTAGTCAGGTTAGTAGGTACTAGGTAGTATAGGTGGCACAGTTCACAGGGACAACTCCAGAGACATGATTAGGGGGCGACGAACTCATAATTTTTATATAATGTCAATGATTTTTTTTTGTAATTTTGTTTTTAACATTATAAAATTGTTTAGAAATATAGCTTTGGGGGGAGGGGGCTAAGGCCACTCTGGAGCCATCCCTGATAGTTCAAAGGATAACAGTCCGTAGGGTTTGGTCTGCATAGACAAATTCCCTACTATGACCCAAGAGTGGGAACAAGTTTGTGCAGTCAGAAAAAATCATTAAAAAAAACCCTGTTCTATGCTATAACTCCGTCACTTTTAAATTTGAATATTTTGAATCCATTTATATTTTATTATCAATAATTAGGATGGCTCGTCTTATTGGGAAGATAGATTAACACTGGGAGCGTTGTCGACGCCTATCGTACTGATTGTTAGGCGGGTTCCCCCCTACATGGAGTCGGGAGATTGTATGTATTTTCCTGACATTTCGCATACATTTTGCTTTAAGTGAAGTGTATTTAAATGTATTTTATAATATTAGTAGAAATTGTACTTACCAACGTATACAGTTAGCTATAAAAGCGTATAAAGTTTCGAAAACAAAATTAGTTTATTTTAAAAAGTAAAATAACCAATATAAAACTATATCTATACATCCCGAATCGGCGGAAGGTACAAATTGTTTCCACCAGAGCGCGTTTTGTTAATTTGTTTCCCCAATGGCCAATACTGTTATACGAAAATGGTAAATTGATAGCCACCACGGTCAGATTATAGACAGGTTCATAGATTATAAACAGAATATTGCCAATATAGAAATATAATAGAAATTCGCTAGACTAAACTGGTGTGAAAAAAAAATGCACCGGGATGTTTGGACCATATCATTTACATGGTTCATTATCCCGGTGCGGGATAATATGGGATAATTTTAAACCGGTGTGTGTTGAAAACGAACCATATCATTTTTTATCAAAAGTCGATTATCAACTTACTCTTGTAGGTGTACCTGGATGAAATTAGTTTTAACTTATAAAAGTGGAGTGGTTTGAAGTTGGAGTGTTGTAGTAACCGTTCGCAGATTTGCCCTTCCCCATACTTCGATGTGTTTGGTCTACGAAGGTTTTTAACATCGTAGTGTCAGACTACAAAACTTTTGAACCATCCAAACAGATTGTCTTAAACAGTGCACTGGCTCAATTTCTTTTGGTCGAAAGATAAATCAAATATTATATTTTTTTATCAACTAAAAAACGTGTAGTTAGTAGGAACTAGGAACCTACATTGCAATACTATTCTGTGGTACCTACTTGTCCTACTTATATAATATTATTTTGACGTTTATCAGTTGATCGATATTCTGTATGATCTGTGTTACAGTATTATCATGGCTTTGCGATTCATAAAACGTACTTACAATCGAATGTTTCTCGCTAAAGATCCAAGGCCACCTTACGCGAGCCATGTGGTACAAATCGGTGATCCTGTATTGCGAAATAAAGCATCCCAGGTCCCTTTGGAAAAAATTGGGACCAAAGAAGTACAAAATGTAAGAACATTTGGTGAGCGGTAAGCGTTTTAAAAAAAAAGTTTTGTTGTAAACACATTAGATGAATGTGTACCGAACTCTATTGTGCTGAAAGTAATTATTATTTTATTATTTAGCTTATTTACATTATGAAATCACTGATGAAAAAATCAAATCTAATTGGATTGGCTGCACCTCAAGTTGGTATACCGTTTCAAATATTTGTAATTAATTTTCCGCGTCCATCCCATTATTTCAGCAAAGAAGAGATATTATTGAAAGGAATGGAACATGTTGAAAATCAGGTTTGTTGAAAACCATATTAGTAAAATAATGACTGAGCTCACAAATTTGATTTATGTTAACTTGGTAATATTGTAGGTTTGGATAAATCCTGAACTTAAGGTTTTGAATCACGAAACAGTTACATTCAGTGAATCCTGTGCGAGCTTTAAGGGTTATTCAGCAGATGTACCTAGATACAAGCGCGTACTTCTAACAGGTAAAATCATATCATGGTTATTCTAGATATCTATATAATTTAATTTAAACAATTAAACTTAGGAATTGATGAAAATGGGGAGAAAAAAACTTTAGATGCAAAAGAATGGACTGCCCGAATAGTTCAGCATGAAATGGATCATTTAAATGGAGTGATGTACAGTGATCGCATGGTGCTTAATAGCCTATGTTGTACAGGGTGGCACACTATTAATCAATTTCAAGGATTTGTAGAACTTCGGTATGAAAATTAGGAAAATGGTGAATTTTTAAACATTTAATAATCCATTGTCTTTTGTTTTATGACATTGAAAGAAAACTGTTTATTACCTAGTTAATATTTTTTGTATAATAAAAATTCTTTTCAATAATTGAATATTCATTTTTTACTATCTTGTCATTTTGGCATGTTTACAATGCATGTATACAATGATGAGTCAAGGATGCCTAAAATAGTAACTTTTAATTAGTTTAATTAATATAGGACCTTAAGATCATATAGTTATTTATAAATGGCAAATACTGAACATATTTAACATAATTTAACTTGACTTTAATTGTCTTGGTTACTACCTGAATGCAAGACATACTGATGCAATAATTGCTGTGGTAAATACTGTCATTGTCACAGCAATAAGTCCATAGTTAACTAAAATACAATAGCCAAAATACAATTGATAATGATGTGGGTTAACGATAAATCTGATAAAACATCAGTGGACTAAAGTAAATACCCCAAAAAATTTTTAGTTGGTGGGTGGGTGGTTCATGGGTGACTGTTTTTATATACAAAAGGTAGGTAGGTGGGTGCCCTTAAACAAAGTTTACTCCAGTGGTTTAAAAAAAGGTTCAGCGCCACTTTACATTACTGAATACAATTTGATAATTATTGTTCTATGATTATATTATATTGCAGGGCTTTGCACCTGAACGTAACCTAAAATCCGAATTAACCCAAATAAATAGCATAACCCAAAAAACCCTTATATACAAAACTGATTGAAAAAATGAACACCCAAAACCCAAATTTCCATTTGGGTTTACCGGAAACCCGAATTATTGAAAATTAAGTGGCATTTCAATTTGTATGTATTTTTTGCAACCAACTCGACTAAGATAATAAGAAGATAGTAGTGTAACTTAATTATCAGATTATATTGTGGTATTGTTGGATTTTAAATATTTTTTATTCTTTAGAACCTGAAAATTGCTTTTAAAAACATTTTATATTTATTGAATTTTGTACAAAGTTATTACAAAATAATTTTATTTGTATAATACAGTAATAATTACATATTATATAAAAAATAGATTCATAATAGTTATGTTTCAATATCAACTTTTAGAGATAAAGGTGATTAAAGTTAATCTGAAAAAAACTAGGAATAAGTAAAACTGATGAAATTGTTTAATTCAAATTCACATATATTAAATATTAATTAATTTAAGAATATAATAAGAAAATTGGTTAGTTCACTAATACATATCATTTTCAATAATTAATTTTATCATTTAAAAGTCTTTTCTTCCAACCATGGCCGTAGTATTGGCAATGTCGATGGATAATGGGTCCCAAGTTTTCCATCGAATGATCCATTTTCTGTTCTAAACGGATAAGTACCCATCATAATAGGAAGTTGTAGTTTTACATCCTTTTCCATGTTATTCGGAGATATAATGAACTGTAAAATTGAACAAAAATCTATAAGAGCTAATTAGTTGGAAAATATACACAAGTGACATTTTTATTTATCCAATGTCTATTAAAATATAGTACATTTCAATTACCGTTTATATTAGTATATGACAACCTACTAAAATACTAAATAACAAATACTTTAATATTAATGGTAGTTTTTGATTTTTTTTCAATAATAATATTATATAGGTAGATACTTTCACTATAGCGGATAATAATAATTTAAAAGAAAATATAACCTTGATTATTTATTTCCACAACACTATTCTACTTACATAAATATCATATTGAATGTTTATTAGATGACACCCACGGAGGTTAGTAGGCGGCAGTGGAGGCACGTACAGCTGTTCATTGTGCCATTGGTCCATTTCGTTAGGTCTGATTTTGTCTCTTTTCAGCGAAGCCAATTCTCTGGTCTCCGATTGTATTATTTTACTCTTGGCAAAATATTGAATCGTCTAAAGTGTATTAAACACCAACAATTTAACTTAGGAATTAACAAATAAGTTTAGTACCTAGCTCAGAATGTAATAAATATGTTCAGCCATAGCCCATACCTAGACGTAAATTGGTGGAGTAATGAAGAAGCTTGGTAAAATATTTCCCAACTTAACCTCGTTCGTAAGTATAATATATTATGTTAATAAATGTTAATTTATGTTTCTAGCCCACCCGCAAACCATATTTACGCCTACGAGTTCAACAATAATATATTATAGCCTATAGTTAAAAAAACATTGTTTATTTTACAATAACATTGGTTTTACAGAAATGTTCGTAGCTTTTTAAATAAGTATACAACTATTAATTTTCTTGATAAACTTGATAGTACAAAAGTACAATAGGTATAATTAAATAATAATAAAAAAAATACTAACCTATTGATATGTAGCCCAAGTCAGATTGAATATTGTGTTTTACATATTAGGTATATTAAAATAATTTAAAAGGAAATTTATATTCTATTTGGTTAAATAGTCTTTTTTATAAACTGTTTTTTTCATCTAATTTATTTTTATAGTTAAAGATGTCAAATAGACAACACTACAACAAGGTTCTTATTATTTTGGAAATTACAAAATGTAGAATGTACATATTTTAGTATACCTATGCATTTAGTCCATAAGTTATAATCCATGATAAAGTAAATTTCTTTATCTTGTCATAATCATTATATTACGATTTTCAGTACATAATAAGGTACATTTTTGTTTCATTGTATTTTTTCTGTACCTAGGTAGCTAGATAGGTACATATAAAGTTTTGATTGTAATAATTATTAAAAATGTATAATATTGTTATGTTGTAAATTAAATATTGTTCTTTTACATAAAGCTTTTTATATTAAAAGTAAACAATGAATACCTAATTTAGATTTGTTAATAAATACATGTTATTATTATCAATATTATTTATTCTAAATCTGAAACTTAGAAATATTGACCAAAGATTTTAGCTTTAAACACACCATTAAGAAGTGTGTCTAAAAGTCTAAAACTATTACTTGATTAGTTTAAAATTTAAAATGTTTCATTTTTAAGTTAAAATCGTTAAAATTATTTGTGGTAAATAATTTATTGGTCAAGTACCTATGTTGCGAAAGTAAATGGTTGGTCCTCACAATACTGTGTGAGTGTGCTTGATTTTTTGTATAAAAAATACTAATTTTGGTTATCTTCCTGAAATGGGCGTTTTTTTTTTATTTTCCCCGGGTGTTAAAAAGCTAAGATCCGGCCCTGAGTATGTGCATCTACTCACCTCCGTCAGCGTAGCTCTGGTCGATTTAATGGTAACTTTGCTGTTGTTGGTCACTGTAGCAGTGATCTCAATGGTCTCGCCTGGCACATAGGCGCCCTTGTCCAGGCACACCTGACACTCGACCAGACCAGATCCCAAGCACATGGCCTTTGACAGTTTGTGATCGATGTCACACCGGAACGGTTCCTGCGAAACAACACGTGCATCGTTGCTAAGGCCGATACTATTAAATAGCATCATCGTTGGAATAACAAAATATGCCGGACGTTTGATAGACAGATGATAGTACGGTGGTGGATCCATTAAGAGGTGGAAACACGGAGACTATCACCCATTCACCCCAACACAACCTTCCCACTTACAGGGACGTCGGACTCATCTGGGACCATGGGTTGAGGGATGGAAAGTATTTTTCCATAACTTTATTTTCACATTAAAAAAAAAGGACCAAATAGTAGCTGATTGCCCCGTCGCCCGCCCCACCCCACCAATGAAACTCTTGATGCGTAATTCCCGAATCCACCACCGTCAATATTGGCATATAACTATATAAGTATAGGTGCATCGTGTATACTACATCATTAAGGCATAATATTATTATTGATTATTATTATTATTGCGTGTAACATGTTTTACTACAGATAAAATGGACGGCTCCATGTTGAGATCGATCGGGTTCATGACGATGAAAACTTGTTGGTTCTTGTGCGTGAGAGAGTTGGGCTCCCGGAGCGCCGCTTTGCAGTAGTACTGGACCCAACCTGACTTTCCCAGGAACGTGGACGGCAGTCCTGGTGGCAGGCCGAGTTTAAACGGAAAACTGTGAATGCCTGGAGACAGCATCACTGGCGGTTGTCCTGCACACACCGCGGAGAACATTTTAAATATTTTATGGTAAATAATGTAACCTTGAACTTTGGCGTGGTCGAGTGGCCACTCGACTTGTGTCTAGGACCGTAAGCGGACTTGAAAATTTATTTATTGTCTTTTAAGTTATCTTGTTACTTTAATTATGTTATTAGTATATTGTCTCCTTCTCATATACGGGTTTTTTTATCGCTCTTATTCCCAGAAACTATTAAAATTTTTTAAAATATTTATTTTTCATAGCTTTTAGTCGTTATATTTATAATTCCTTATTCCCCCATATCGCATTTTATACATTCATGCACACCAATGAATAATGATACAATAATAATAGCTTCTTAAAAAACCTAGAATTGGTCTCCAAAGTCCAAATGCATTTAAAGATACTCTAATTGATATGATTCATTGTTGGTCCAATCGTTAGATGACACAAATTAACAAAACCAAGTCTTCATTTATAATTTTCGCCTGGGGATGTGACAACTAGTCAAACTAAACAATAACAGAATTCATACCGTATCCGAAGTAAGATATGTAGGCTTAACATTAGACAAGTACTTTGCCTAGGTTCCTCTCCTTAAATATTAACGAAAATTTGCTAATTCTAGACTTCAACTGCTTCGTCCTCCTATCCGATCTAAATTATCAACTATCTGCAATCTCATAATCTACAAAGCCATAATAAGACTCGTCAAAGAATATGGAATACAAGGTTGGGGTTCAGCAAACCGTCAACTCTCAGAACGTTCCTCGTGTTTCAATCCATTTATTCTCGCACTATGGGTACCCATCTACGATTTCTGCTAATATTGTGATCATGGCTTAAAAATTAATTATGGTACATTCGATTTTAATAGAAACATTTTAAAAAAAAACCCATTTCCACGTACTTCGATACATAAAAATCAAAATGTTGACGAGTAGTTTATGAGTTATAAATATTTATTTTAGATGAGTGGAGTGAATAGTAGTGCAGGTATACCCCGCATAATACTTATATTTTATAACTATAATATTAACTATATATACGGTTTATTATATTATAAGTGTATGGTATATGGTGTATTTTCTATTAATCTCAACTTTGACTTTGTTTCTACTTTTCTTATCCAAGAATCTGAAAGTTTGTTGTTGGTGACTAAAAATAAATTGCCCGGCGTGCTAACTCACACATTTCGGTGGACGCTGGCTTAAATATAATAAGTTCACCCTTATTAAGACCTCCTACGGTTGTTATACCGCTATAATAGTACCTATCAATCTACATGCAGCGTTCGCATTCAACGAAACATTGCTAAACCGGTATTGTACTTTAATTGCCTTAGAGTATTTCCACAACATCTCGAGGTATTTGTTTTGGTATAATTAATAATTATATACATACCCGGTTCTCCGAGTAGTCTCATCCGAAAATCTATGTAGTTTTCCTTGTCGTAGATCCGCTCGCGCCGTTTGCTTTTCAATCGCACTACCCCTTCGCCGATCACGTGGAAATGTAGGCCTGTTTCATAAATAAATCAAATATTATAGGATATGTCAACCGATTAATCCGACGACGGGTGTATAATAGGTATAACGTATATGATTATTGCAGTATACATTATTAATGTTTACGATTTATGATCGCTGCAGTGATTGACCCACCGCACGCACTGTACCGTAGCAAATTTATAGTTTTCAATTATGAATACCTATTGCAAAGTTGTGCAATTTGTGATTTTGACATAATATCTCTATATATATTATTATATAAGGTGAATTGTGCATTTCATTTCATCGAATCTAGTCATGGCTAAACCACTGAGGTGATGTTCCTTGAATCATTAAACCGCAGCGGCCTGCATTGCAATTAATCTTTAGTAATTTTTTTTATTATTTTAATAAAATATTTTTTCTCTTGATACTATAAGTACGTATATAATAGAGTAGGTTACAGTGCTCCACTTGTGGGTGGACGCAGGGGGGTGGAATACCCCAACAAATTTTTCAGAAATATTACCGTACCCCCACTATTATTTTTAAGAGAAATTTATCAAAATGCGGGAGATAGATATCATCATAATATTTGTCTTATGGATTATTTCATAACCTCGGATCTATAAACTAGTTAATATTAACTATAAATACTAATTATTACTAAACAATTAATTTATTTACTTTTACTATCCTTTTGAGTTTGTATTATTAGTTATAATATTATAATATATTATATAAATATAATAGGTACCTACATAATTACCTATGTCGTATATTATTATCTAACTTTTATTTTTATTTTTATTTTTTTTTTTGAATTTATTATTTATAAATATTTTTTATATGGTTTAAAGGGTATTAGGGGGTGTTTTAATGTTTAACAAGTTATGCAGGGGACGCTATTTTTTAAAAGTAAACAGAGTCCCCCTATTTTAATTTTGCCAAGTCGAGCTCTGGTATTGCGTAACAATTATTTATTACTCATTAGTCATTAGGGTTAGACTGTTGGTGATTTTGCATGGTTTTTAGGTAATTGTCATGACGTCATCCGTGTAGATAGCTGCATGTTTTCATATGTATATATTATGTTCATATACCTATACCATGAATATATTGACTACCTATACTATTAATTATTATACTCTTACTGTGTCAATTTTGTAATAAGAAAAAAATTATTTGTTCACATATTGTTTAAGAAAAACATGTTCAAAATTCCTAATTTGTAGAAAAAATTGTTATCGTCATTTAAAATAAATATAAGTTGCGTGTCTCACAAGTGCCGGAGAGTTACACAATTAGAATTTTTCTCAAAATGTGGAATTCGGTACTTAATCCATTTCCTTTCACGCAAACACAATTTCAATCTAAGAATCAAAGTCAATCTGCTGCAATTAGTGGTACTTCTAAGCGAAGAATGAAGATACACTACAGTACCTATATGGCTATATGATAATATTATGTCTTAACTCCATAGGCGCCAGGTGGATATTTGGTCACAATCGTGGGGGCTTAACATTTTTGTCTTATCCATTACCGTAAACATACATTTTTAAACGCTTCAACCTACTAACTAGTGGCTACTCAGTACTCCTACTTTATTCTAGCAGAGGCACCAAGTATAATATATGTATAGGTATATTAAAATACACAATTTATTTTGACATCTAGTGTGGTTTGTTCCATTCAAGGGATGCTTAAGCCCCCCAATATCCGCCTATGCTTAACTCAAAATATCAAAATTTTCAAACTTTGTTAGGTGTTAAGAAGACGCCAAACGGGCATTAATTGTTGTCTCGTACAACACAGCAAAATTTTAAGTCCACAATAATACATTTTACTCTATAATTTCTAAAATTAGATTAAATTTACCCCTTATAAAATGTAAAGGTAAGATTATCTAGGGCATCTCGGAGGTTTTTACTAGTATTTTTATAAAGGAGCAAGTTATGACCATTTTTAAACTGTAAATTGTTTGTATAATTTTAAATGATCATAACTTACTTAAAATGAATAACATCAATTAAACCCTCCGAGATGCCTAGATAATAATGTTACCTTTAAATTTTTTAAGAGGTAAATTCACTAATTTTAAAATATACAGTGTAAATTGTATTATTGTGAAAGTAAAATTTGACATGTAGGTACGTTTGAAAGACGGAGGCGACAAATCCCCGTGTGGCGTCCTAATAAGTATAATTTTTAGTTTTTTAATTTAATTTATTATCTTCTTTTACAAATTAAAATCTTTGATCTAAAGTTTATGTTGGGTTATAATATATTTAATTATATTATATATCTATTATGTATATAAATAATATAATATATAGGTACCTACTCTTATACACGGCATTACGGCAATACCTTACACAGTTACAAGTCATAAAATGTCGATTTCATTTCCGATGTAATAATATTAATTACATTTAATTATCACGAAACTTATTTTCCCCTAATACCTATATGATAAATATAACATAATATTATATCATATTATGATTAAACTCTGAAGATTTAAATTGCAATTTTGTTTTAAACTAAAATACCTATCATCATTCCATATTTAATTTTATAATTTTTATAGCGCATGCAAATTCAAGTATTTAAGTGCAATGAACATTATGACCTTAAAAAATATATTAATTTGATCACAAAAATTTGTCTAATTAATAATATTTAGTAGGTACCTGTACAATATAGGAGAAGTAATGCTAACGCGATTCCCCACAATGTTGTGGTTCATTCATAGGGAGGAAGGAGTATGCATACAATATTATAAAAATTACAAGATTATAAGTACCGCGGAAATATAACCCCTTGAAAAAATAACAACGGAAAAACTAACTTCGTATGAAATATTTTAAAATTGCATATTATTTTTGATAAAAAATAAAAAAATAAAAATTGTTTCTCATTGTGACTTATGTATTTTACCAGTGGCGTACGAATAGACAATATTTTTAAAAATAATATACAATAATATACAATAATAATAAATTATATACAGATACATAAGAACTACATTTTTGTGCAAGTATCATTATATTAATTATGATTCATGACTAAAAATATTATACTTTAATATTTTGTCTGTTTTTAAATTATATATGCTGACATTGAAATTATGAGAAGTATATTATATAAGTAAATTATGTATAACACATAATCTTTATTATGGGGTTAATTTTTACGTGGTTGTTTTTTCATGGTGTTATTTTTCCCGGGGTCATTTATTAGGGGAATCATTACTGCTGTCATGTTATTTGGACGTTCTTGCAATTTATTATAATATTATGGTCACTACTCATTACTCACTATAATAATAATTATTATGCAGGCACGTATTGCACAACCACTTGAGAATTTAACGGATCCTCATTGATAGGACCGTTAAATTTTTAACGATCCTCAAATAGCATTGAACGGTCGTGCAATCATGCGACTTGGTGATATATATTTATTACAACAACTAAAATATAACGTCTTGCCATTATTATAACTGTACCTATAGTGTTCAATGATTATGTACTGCACTATACTGCCGTTCTTCGGATGATAAGTTAAAGTATATATATACCTAGGTGCTTCATCTAATTTGTAATTAATGACTATGTTGCCTAGAAACGAATGAAAATAAATTGACATTTCAAAATAAGGTTGTTTTGCGGCTTGTACCTATAACTACGTTTGTAGGTAGAGCCGTAGAGGTACAAAAATGTTTTACTATAAATAATAAAATAAGTGAAACTTCGGACGCCGCTGCGTACAAAATAATGTTGCATCACGTTTGCAGCGACATGGATGGTATAATATAGATGTTTTATTTTACCTTGTTTTGCTTGAAACCTACATATTTCTTTTAATCGTTGATTGAGTATTTCAGGTATTTAGGACAATATTGATGGATAATCTCCGAGAAAAATAAAATACCTATCTAATAAGTGGGTATGCGGGTGGATATGTACATTATACAATCAATTCAAATATGTCTAGATATCTTGATAGAGGACACTAGCAGGACACCACACTGCAGTGATCCGTAAGATTTATATTAAAATAATTTCAAAGGTTTGAAATGTACGACGTAATAATACATTACACTATAGGTAGTCTATTCCAGCCACCGGATTAGGACATCCGCAGCAGAGTTGAATTTGTGGTGCAGTCGTACTCTGCAATAAAGTTGCACATCATATTATAATTTATCTAATTTTATGTTTCCTATATCTGGATCCAGTCGATGGCCATTTAATATTAAAATATTTTAATCTAAAAATATAATTATATACATCAACCTATCAAAGTGTGTAGGACGTAAATAGCTGGTATAGGATTAGGTTTATAGAAATGTACCTATATTCATTATACCTATTTATTTTTTAATCTGTAAACTTATTATTTTTATTAAATTTATCATGCCTTATGGCTTATATACAATATTCATAAAAGGAGTAGGTATTATTAATTAATAATTATCAATAATTTAAATTAAAATTGCTTCCATCCCAATATTAGCTTTTAGGTACAAATCATAGAGTAATCATATAGTAAATTACTCTATGGTACAAACGTACAATCATTGTTTTATTAGTCGTCCCACTGCAGGTGATCACCCCCCCCCCCCTCCGAAATTTTTTGTTGGTACGGTACTCCGTACTCATACGAATTTATTTAATCAATGTATTAAATAAAACCCAACAGCGCATACACGGGATAAAACAAAAATGAAAAATGCAGACGAAGCGTATAAATAAAAATAGTTGTTCACTTAATTTATATGAAATAGTTATTACTAGGTAATTAAGATAATGACGGACCGTCGTCAATAAAATTATTTCTGTATTACTAAACTTGATTCCAAATCTCTTCAACAAATTTACACCTAGTTATAATGATGTTGAAAAATGTATAGACTTTTATAAACATATTTTACCCCGCAGTTACCATACATTTCAATCAGAATTAAAAGTATGGATAGAAAAATGGAAAAAAGTTCCTTAGAATGAGTGTCCAAAGTCTGCTATT